TAAATAGTTTATAAAAAGTTAAATGTTTGACTACATGGATAATTAATTGTTACAGAAATCAACAAGTCAATATGTTCACTAGAGCATATGCTACTAATGTACTTGTAATCATCTATGACCCATACTACTCATGTCTCCAACATACTTATGTGTCTAGCAATCATTTTTCTATGCTTTATAAATGATAAATGCAATCTTAATATAAAGTATGACAAGGTTCTCTGTTTCCTATCCTGTTTCCATTTTTTTCATTCAGTGGTTCATAATTTTGGGGGTTTTTTTTTTCCTTTGCTAGTCCAATCCTCTGCATTCTAAGGAAAAATATTAGACACGCAATTAAACATATACTGGTTTCATTTTCACTTGTGTTACTAAGGATTACTTAATTTTAATAAACCTAATTAGAAATAAATTAAATTTGTATTCCGATAAGACTAGTAACAACAGTGTGTACTAGCAGAGAATACAACATATAAAACCAGTTTCTCTGTAAATTATTTAGTATTCTTAATACATCCATCAGCCTTGGGATACACAGTTGGGTTGCCTTGTCTTCTGTGTATCATGGAGTAAACTCAGTTAACGTTTTCTTAGGCTACAGCTAGATTACATTCCTCTGTCGACAGAGGGATGTAAATGAGGCACTTCGGAAAAAATGAGGTTTATAGGATCTTTTGAGAGAGCCTGCCATTTTTGAAAGAACTGCGTCTAGCCTGCCATTTTTGAAAGAACTGCGTCTAGACCGCGGTTTTACTTTAGATATGTTGCTTGTTCGAAAGAGCATCATGATGCAATTTTGCAAATGAAGCGCGGGATATTTAAATTGCCACTTCATTTGCACTTTCAAAGTGCCTCATTTGCATCCCTCTCTTGACAGAGGGATATAATCTAGACATAGCCTTAGTGTGGAAACTTCTCCCATAATTTGTGCTGTGTGCACAGTACTTGCCCAGTTTACTGTCTCCATCGATAAATGTGGTGACAGTGCTTCCTGCTTAAATTACTGCTTTATTCAAGCTATCTCATGTCTGATTTCTCCTTGAAGAATGGTGTACAAGATTCTCAACACAGAAAATGAAAAACAGATTTCTTCTACAGACAGTCTCACGTAAGCCACCTGGCATTGAGAGGATACTCAATAGACTTCTGAAGTCAAAGAATGCTACCTCATGCTGTGAGAGAGCATACTTACTACTCCTCAGAGGTCAGAAGCCTTTCCTAAGCTGTTACTTTCTTTCTAAGAGAATGCTTAGTAGGGCCCACCTGCTGCCACTGGAATTCTGTACCTCAGTCAGTAATATTGAAGAATCTCTAAATGGAGAATTCCCAGATGTCATGAACCAGCCTTTGAACAGGAAGACTGCTTCTTGGCCCTTGCCTCTGCCAGGGAAAAGATGGATTGCTGCTTCACAATGGAGTCAGTCATGTTAGACATGTTGCTCATAGCACTGGATTTTAGACCGCACCAGCAAGTACAGCTTCATCTACTCTGCTTTTTAGAAGTAGCTTGAACACACAAGACTGTTGGCTCAGATATTAGAGCCTTTTCTTCAGGATGACAGAAGATATATCAGGATACAGTGTATTTCAGCAATACTGACATCCAGCTGCATGGTATATGCAGTTCCTATCCTATGTCATGCCTTTTATGTAGCCATTCTTATTTCACATGAGGATATCATCAATATATTATCCTAGGCAAAAGGGACTCCTGGTGTGGTTAATGGACATCTTCATTTCCTTAGTGAGTTTCCACTTATGCACATTCTCTCTTCTCTTGATTACCAGAAGAGCTGGGGAAATATACAGGATAATAGTAAATTATCCAAGTACAGATGAACTGGCCTCACAGTCTCTGAATTGCAAACCATGAAAGTGTCAAACTGTGTGAGCCTTTTAATTTTCCCAATTCACAGTACTTTTACCTTAGACCAGGGGTGGCCAATAATTTTTTGCCATGGGCCACTTTGGAAATTTTTGAAGTGGCCCCAAGCTGCACAGGAAGGGGCGGGTCATGGAGCAGAAGGGGCAGGGCCAAGCGATTTCCCACCCCCAGTCAACAATTGGTCTGGGGATGAAGGGAGTGCCTTTGTCCCACCCCACATTCCCCCAAGATACCTATCCGCCTGGCATGGGAGGAGACTTCCCCCGCTCCCCTGCCAATTAGGATCTGGGGGTGGGGGAGCACGTGAAGCTTCCTCTGCTCTCCCCTGTCCTGTGAGCAGTGTCTGGCACTTCAAAGCGCCCTGTGCTCCTGGCAGTGTGGGAGGAGGCTTTTATTATTTCTCTTACCCATTACCTGTTACTTGGATATTTACTTTCTGAGGAGATGGTGAATTCGTCTCTATTAAGAAAGTATTAGTGACCAGGAATAGTTGAGTTGCTTCTGTGCTCTCCAGTAAGTGGGGCAGCTCAGTAATCAGATTTTGGATTGGTGATGTATTTATTATGGGTGTGTCTACACTTCACTACATTACACCGTAGGTTGAAATAAGATACTCTGGTATCCTGAAATAACTCTGTAGTATAGATGTAGCCTTTGAGATCAGCTTGCAAGAGAAATTTGTTATATTTAACGTCTCAAAATTACTGTATTCAATATTACTATACATTCACTCTACTTTACTATAAATTCACTGCAGAATGGAAGCATTCTTCATTTCATTTACACATTTTTTTAAAATAATTCAGCCTGTAATCTACTCACTAAGTTTCTAGATTTGTATATTAAAGGGACATCACAGTCTACGTTTGTTACTGCTCTCTGTTTTCACTTCCTTGTAAAACAGAGTATTGAAGCAGAGGACAGTGTACATTGATAAGACTGTGCTCTTTTTTGACTATGCACTTTCCTTAGTAAAAACTTTTTTCCTGACTGTTCTTAAACTTGATTCATTTTTTTTTCTATTACAAATAATGCTTTTCAAGCTCTTCAGTTGATTTGGTAATCATTGTCAGTAATTGTTGCTCAATAATAAAGTGTAGAGCAGAGAACATGTCTCTTGGTCAGTGTTTGATTGCACTGAGAACATTGGAACATTCTGTGGAAGGTGGCTTTAAAAATGTATGTGTGAGACTGTGTAAAGAGCATCCTGGGTACAATAGTGTTCACATGGTTAAGATTTCAGACCCTTTTCACTTTAACGGGTGTTTTTAAAAGTTGTACATAACTTTGAAAAACTTTCAGCTTTGGGACTGAAATTTCCAGGTTTGATCTCTGGTCAAAGATGTGGCGCACATGCGTGTGCGGGGGGGGGGACATGCAGAATAAGGCAAAGGAGAGAGATAATTTTCTCATAAATACAGTCATTGTGGAGTTGGTGGGGTTTTTTTGTTTTGGGGGATTTGTGGGGGGGGTTGTTTTGGTTTTTTTGGCACAGCTTTCCGGTCTAAACAATTGGGAAATGAAAGCCAGAGTTTAGTATAGAGATAGCCTTGTGAAGAGAAATACTCTTGCATATGTTGGTAAAATTTGATGGGGATTTAACTGAGGTCTTGTCTGTATGGTAGTTTTTTCCCTCAATATATCTGCATTAGTGTAAAAGTGACATGGGTGACCATGGTTTACCTGAGTGTAACCGAGCCTGAGTTACCAACTGTGCATGACAGCACACGCCCATTATTTCAAAATGTAATCAAAATAACGGGCACACTATTCCAACATCCCGGTAAACCTCGTTCCACAAGGGACTTGTTGGAATAGCACTCTATTTTGAAATAAGGTACAGTTTTTTCACAGCTCAAACTGAGTACTTTATTTGATCTAGTGCCACAGTGTATAACGCACCCTTTGAGAGCTGTGGAGCTTGGGGAATGCCCAAAACCTTAATGCAACAACTAACTTTGGCATTTACTGACTGAGGGCTTCTGCATGAAATCTTAAACCTATTTTGATGCTACTGTAAATGTATGTATAAAATCATAATTGTACAATGGTCTAGAAATTGTAATATGAATTTTACAAGTGGCTGTGAAACAGGTCATATGCAATTTAGGGTTCTTTTGGCAAAATATCATCAATTGTACGTTGGCTGTTCATTGTTCTATCAGAATCCACACACAGTTAAATATATGTTAAAAATAAACTGTCATTCAGGGAATTTTCCCCTTCAAACTGGAGATGATGGTTTTTTCCCTTTTCCTTTGATGCCATGCAGCTAGTTCGGCAGAAAAATGAGCTCTGCTAATTTCCCATGTGGTATAATTGCTGTGTTCAAGCAGGCCATTTATTCTGTTTAAGTATTATTCTAAAATAAACCCTATAATCTTACACAGCAATTCCATTTGGCTTCTTTAAACCTTTTTTTTTTCTTAGCCCTAAAACTATTTTGAGGTTGATTCTGTATTTATCTGGCATGTAATGAGGACAGTGCAGCTTTTACAAAATATGTGGTTATTGAGAACTTCTCCAAACTGTTGATTGGATTTTTTTCTAGAAGTTTCCATTCTTGACATTACTCACTCCATGGTGCTCTATTTAATTGTAGTTTTGAAAGTATTAATAAATTATTTACATTTCAATTACTTTGGCCTTTTAATGCAGTGAAGTCATTCAGGGATATTTATGCATGAGAAGTATTTCATCAGCTTTAGCGTCTCTCTCAGCCATTGAAGACTCCAGCAATAGGATCTTTATCTACTTGCCATGTTCTTTACACGCGCTAATTTAAGTCTGAAGCATTATCTTAATTTCATTTCAAAGAAGGAGATTCTTATACATGTAATGTTGCATTTAAGGGATTATATGAAACAAGCTGGAAGTAAAACTTGCTGTGTAGCAGCGGATTTGTGTATTTCCACACTGAACAAGTTAGAAGGGGCTGGCGGTGGGAGAGAGTTCTGAATCAGTGTCCAGCCCTCTTGGATCCCTCTTTGTATTAATCACAGGCCAAAGCAGAACTTCCCTGATCTTGCCAGGAATCATCAGCTGGATGCTATAGAAGAGGGGGAAGACCTAGCTGATTATCAAAGTAATGAAAGAATGTTACACTTGATTTTAGGTTCGGGAACTGCAGACACGTTTACAAAGCATCCAGGCAACAGGCCCATCCAGCCCCAGTCGTCTCACTTCCACAAACCGACCTGTGAACCCCAGTACTGGCGAGCTGAGCACGAGCAGTAGCAGCAATGACGTTCCCATTGCCAAGGTGAGCTGTTGTGTGCTGCAGTAATGCCTCTCATTATCTGGAAGACACAGACTTCATTGTGCACAGCTGCTGTGCAGGCATGCGATTAACTGGGAAATATCTAGAATCCCAGGGGTGTTTTCTAGGGCCCTAAGCGGGCCTGTGAACTTGAGCTGCAGGAAGAGATAGAGTGCTAATAATTTTAAGTCTCTCGTAGTCACAACACAGATGCCAGCTTTCGTTTGTCAACTTCACGTGTGATTTCCAAGCATGATGTGTGAACGATGCTGCATTTTGCATAATTGTGCAGAACATGGGAAAAGCGATGCCTGTCTGTAACTTGTGTAGCTTTGTGGCTTTTAGATTGCTGAACGGGTGAAGCTCTCAAAGACCAGGTCAGAGTCTTCATCATCTGACCGACCTGTCCTAGGATCAGAAATCAGCAGCATAGGGGTGAGTGTTAATAATACATCAAAATAATAAACTGCACACACAGCTCATACTAACATGAGTATTGCAGGAAAGAGCCATGGTTGACTGTTATGTTGTTAAAAACAAAAACAGTTTATTACTATTTCAAAGCTAATTTCATGGAAAATATTTAACAGGAAAGACAGAATAAAGTAATACTAATCTCCCAGTTTTACATTAATGTTATCCATGCATTTGTCATCCATTGGTGGCAGAGGACCAGACCTTTGAACTCTTGCTCACCTGAGTAATCCTATTGACTTCAAGGGGACAAGATGAGTGAGGATTACTCACATAAGTAAGGGTTAGGCAGCTGTACCCCGAGGAGGTCAGACATCTCTAGGGCTATGTCTACACCACAGAGTTTTTTCTGGGATACCAGAGGTATCCTGGAAAAACTCTATGTCCAGGGAATGGGTCTGCAATTTGTGAAATCTTTTTTGGAAGAGCAGACATGCTTTTTTGGCATCCCTGTAAACCTCATTTTACGAGGAAGAAGCGATGTTCCGAAATATTTTTTTCTCTGACATTTGGCCCAGTGTAGATGGGCCAAATGTCGGAAAAGCCTCTTCCAAAAAAAGAAGTGGAAAAAGTGACACAAATTGCAAACTTCAATTTGCATAGCTTTTTCCGGAAGAACAGTATAGTGTAGACATAGCCTAGAAGAGAATAGTATACCAAATTCTGCTCTGATAACGCCAATATAAATCCAGGAGAATGCTACTCCTGATTTATACCTGTGTAACTTAGAGCAGTTTTTGGCCTGGAGCCTCTTGCTCGGCTAAGAACAGTATAGTGTAGACATAGCCTAGAAGAGAATAGTATACCAAATTCTGCTCTGATAACGCCAATATAAATCCAGGAGAATGCTACTCCTGATTTATACCTGTGTAACTTAGAGCAGTTTTTGGCCTGGAGCCTCTTGCTAGGCTTTCTTAAGTGTAGATGCTCTGCAGAGAGCCTGATTATTTTTTTAAAATCTATAGTATTTTTAAAAACTAGCTGTCCACTCACCGCAGGTTTATTAATCACTCTGTGCAGGTGTCCAGCAGTGTGGCTGAACACTTGGCCCATTCTCTCCAAGACTGCTCCAACATCCAAGAAATCTTCCAGACACTCTATTCACATGGATCTGCTATCTCTGAAAACAAAATCCGAGAGTTTGAAGTGGAAACAGAGAGATTAAATAGGTAAGATGGAAGTTTAGAACCACTTGTAGTGTTTTGCCTACAATTTATTTTGTTTTTGTTTTCATTATTGCCTGTCACATATCTCCTATATTTGACTCCCAGTTCATGGTTGGCAGCTGTAATCTAGTCTAGTCAGTCTAGTATGCCTTTTATTTGTTGACAGATAAAGTGTTAGAGCATGTTTATGAAAATACGTGCTTGGCAGCAAGCTGGGATAAACATCTACTTCACCCCAGCCTGCCTTGCACTAATTGTCCATGTGGATCTTAGTGGGGCACACTAACATTTCTGTAGTGCACTTTGAAGCAGGGTAGATCAGTGCACACTATGGAACTTTTGTTCTTCAACTGCTCGTTCAAGTTCATTCCACTTTAGGCATGCCCCACTGCCAGAGATTTTTCTCTCAGTGGTATCCATTGAGCCATTTATAGTGCTTCTGGTGCCATGCACTTATGCACCTGTATTTTAGTAACACGGTTCACAATCATGCTGGAAGGGCATAACAAGTGCAGTTCTGCAGGGGTCTCTTTTGGGACTGGTTCTGTTCAATATCTTCATCAACAATTTAGATATTGGCATAGAAAGTACGCTTATTAAGTTTGCAGATTATACAAAGCTGGGAGGTGTTGCAAGTGCTTTGGAGGATAGGGTCATAATTCAAAATGATCTGGACAAACTGGAGAAATGGTCTGAGGTAAATAGGATGATGTTTAACAAGGACAAATGCAAAGTACTCCATTTAGGAAGGAACAATCAGTTTCACACATACAGAATTGGAAGCAACTGTCTTGGAAGGAGTACTGCAGAAAGGTATCCTAGGAGTCATAGTGGACCACAAGCTAAATATGAGTCAACCAAAAAAGCTAACATGATTCTGGGATGCATTAACAGGAGTGTTGTGAGCAAGACAGGAGAAGTCTTTCTTCCTCTCTACTCTGTGCTGATTAGGCCTCAGAGTATTGTGTCCAGTTCTGGCACCACATTTCAAGAAAGATGTGGAGAAATTGAAGAAGGCCCAGAGAAGAACAACAAGAATGACTAAAGTTCTAGAGAACATGAGTTATGAGGGAAGATTGAAAGAATTGGGCTTGTTTAGTTTGGAAAGGAGAAGACTGAGAAGGGACTCAGGTATCTAAAAGGGTGTCACAAGGAGGAGGGAGAAAAACTTTTCTCCTTAGCGTCTAAGGATAAGACAAGCAATGGACTTAAACTGCAGCAAGGGAGGTTTAGGTTGGACATTAGGAAAAATTTGCGAACTGTCAGGGTGGTTAAACACTGGAATAAGTTGCCTCGGGAGGGTGTGGAAGCTCTATCTTTGGAGATATTTAAGAGCAGGTTAGACAGACATCTATTGGGGATGGTCAGTCGGTACTGGGCCCTGCCGTAAGGGCAGGGAGGACTGGACTCCATGACCTCTCGAGGTCCCTTCCAGTTCTAGTGTTCTATGGTTGTCTGTTGTAAATAGTGTTAGTATAAATATTTAGTGCCATCTCCCCTTATCATTAAGGGAACTTCTTTACTTAGGCAGCTCATCGCCACAAGATGATCTTCAGTAGGGATGTTAGACAGCATGTAATTGAATAGTCACGTAACTGCATCAAATTTTAGTGGTTATATGACTATTCGATAGTCCCCAGGGGCATGGCCTGTGGCCAATGTGTGCTCAGTCCCTCTCCGAGGGAGCCCCTTTACACCCTGTGCTGCTCCCTCTCTATCAGAGGCATCAGTGTGGAGTGGCAGGCTGGAGACAGTCCATGAGGAGAGCTGGTTTAAAAAACAGTTCCCTGTGCAGACAGGCTCCTGTCTGCCACCCTGCACTGCTGCCTCTGATGCAACAGCGCGGGGTGACAGCAGCCCCAGTCTGCAGGGGACCCAAGTTCCCCACAGACAGAAGCTGCTCTGGCCTCTCCCAGCACCAGCTCCTACCTGCCCCTGCCCCCACTGCCTCTGTAGGAGGCAGCAGGGGAGGGGCAGGCACTTCTGAAGAGCCAGCATGTGCAAAGAGCTGGCTTAAAAGCCATCTTCCCTGTGCATATTGGCTCCCGCCTGTCCCTCCAATCAGCACCGCTGACTCTATCAGTGGGGAGCTGGCTTAAAAGTCCGCTCCTCACGGGCCCCAGCTTCCATCTTCCCTCCTCCTTGCTGCCTTTAGAAGCAGCAAGGAGGGGGGAATGCATGTAGACTACAGGATTAATTGATAAACCCAGGCTTATTGGTTAATTGTGTAGTTGTCTACACAGTGACATCCCTAATTTTCAGGCTCTCCACATACAGGCAGTCCCTGAGTTACGCGGATCCGACTTATGTCGGATCCGCAGTTACGAACGGGGCTTTTCTTGCCCCAGAGGACGGGAGCGGCAGGACGCCCAGATGCGCCGCGGTCCGCCGCCCCCGTCCTCCGGGGCGAGAAAAGCTGCTCCCCGTCTCCCTGGTCTGCAGGGAGATGGGGGG